CAGTAGGGACGGCTATGCTGAACATGCAGGATGCCTCGGGCAGTCCTCACCACCACAAATGCCAGGAACCACAAAATTAATAATGATGTGGTCGAAGAAAAGGTGCCTGCATTGCAACAGTAGCGATTCTCTTCACCTCACCACTTGAGGGACAGAGGTCATTTGGATTCACTCCCTATTATGGTTTCCAATGTCATTAGCTATGAAAGACTATGTGAAAAATAATTCCACCCTTTTAAAATGGGAAATTACCAATGGAAACAGTTATAGAGTGTGCCAAATCTCTCTAATTTAGAAATCACTGAGCAATTGAAAAGGACACATGATTTTATTTACATTGTTAGGAAGAAATTAAGAAATGGAAGTGATTGGGTACGGTAGTTTTGTTTGAGACATAAATACCTTTGAGAGTCACTGAACTGTGAAAAATACATGCAGTACAAAATACAAGTCATTTGTCATAAAACTAAAGGAAAACCATATTTCTAACAATGCGACTATGGTGGATATGTGCTGCTTTAATTTTTCTCATTTATTCAAAGACAGTTGAGATATCTGCTTGAAGTTCAAATAAGCAATGTTTTGACAATATATTGTCACAGTTAAATGTGCTTTGAATTCATTTCTGAATCAGTTTTCACTTTCCAGAATATTAGTACACCATAACTGTGTTTATAGCTGATATCCTTAACTCCTTTTGAGGAGCTAAAATCTTTAGTCTTTCATATTTTCTTTAGGGAAGGTAAAACCAGTTAGAACAATGCACTATAAAATTCTTACCATTGTTGAGTCTTTCATGCTCTTTTTCTCTCTGTTCTAGGTCTTCTGTAGATGTTCCTATACTGTGACATTTATTTAAAGTAATTATTTTAATATGCATATAAAACAGCATGATTTCTAAATTCTTTTTTTGGAGTTCCTAATATATTTTAAATTAGATATTTAGAAATATTGTTTAAAACAGGATCTCCCTATGTAGCCCACCTGGCTTTAGACCCATCATTGGAACATGTTGGCCTTGAAATCACAGAGGTCTCTTGGCCTCCTGCCTCCCAAATTCTAGGATTAAAGGTTGGCCAAAGAGGCCTAGTCAAATATCTCTGAATTCAATCTTCAGTAGTTGATTAGTATTATTGACTGCTGTCCTTTCCATCTTTTCTCATAGAGAAGAATCAGACATAATTTACCTTTTGATTATAACAGTCCTCTGCCGCCACACACAAGAGAGCAGTGGTTTTTTTAAACACAGGTATTGTTTTGATGGCTCCAGAGCCTCTGTATTTTTGTGCTCAGGGAGTTAGTGCTCTTGTTCCACTCATGTGCTGACGTGACCATAAGGCTCCACAGCCATATATCTGGCATGATTCTTTGGAGGCATTTCATTGATTGCTATACTCTCTACATAAGGGATGTTCAGTATGTCATGAAGTATTTTTTTTTTTTTTTTTGCTTGTATGTGTCCCTCTGCATGCATTCTTGAAAGCCATGACATTTGTGGTACTTTCAAGATGGCTTCAATAGTTCATTTATGGTGAATGCTGAAACCTTAACCTAGTTGTTTCATTGTTCAGTTAGTTTTGTGTGTCATGCTGAGACCACCCCTGTTAACAATCTCCAGGAAATTGTAGGGATCCTTCAACTTTGACCATTATCTTCACTGTCTTTTCACAAATAATGATCCCCAGTCTTATTAAATCAGTGATCTAATGTTACTTTTTTTTTTTTTTTTTTTTTTTTTGCTAAGCATCTGTTATACTACCAGGCTATGGCCCATACTCTATAAATTAAATTTTTATTAAATATAATATACATAGCATACATGTTCCATAATTGTATTATTATTACTATTTTATGTGACGATCCCAGTTCCCTCTCCCTCCCTCTCTGCCTCCCTCCCTTCCTCTTACCCTCTTCTCCCCCCCACATGCATCCTGACTACCCTCCCCTCCCATCTAATGTTACTTTTTAATCTCCATATTTAATGTGTGTTCCTGTTCACATGTGTATCTGCATCCTTGACTGCCAGTCCTTTTCTCCTTGGTTGTGAGGCAGATTCTCTTGTTGTTAACAACTGTATAAGCATGCTACCTAAGGTCTAAGTTTCCAGGCAGTCTGGTGGCTCCTTAGGATTAAAGATGCACACTAGCATAGCAGGCCCTTTCTGAGTTCTGAGGAATTGAACTCTGAATTCTTTGCTTTATGTGTTAAGTATTTAATACCTGGGCCAGGTCCCCAATCATGAAGTCTATGCTATACAATGTCAAAGACACAAACATTTCCCTTGCATGCTTTAAAAGTGATAGTTGTACAATTTCTGTTTATCTTGTACTAAATGAGACATAAATACCTTAAATGGCCTTCATTAGTGAGAAATACAGTTAGGCCAACTAAGAGGATCAGAGGTCTAATTGAAAGTGTTCTGTACTTAGTAGCCTCAGCTCCATGATTAATAGCAATATGCTCATAATAACTACATTAATTTAGCTTCAAAGTCTACTTCTAAAACTTGTGGGTTCTAGGGTCCAAGAGATGTCTCAGCAGGTACACTTACTTGTCACACTAGTCTAGAATTTGAGTACCTGGAACTCAAGAAACAGCCAGACACTGCAATGTGTCCATAACCCCATTACTTTTATAGTGAATGGGAGGTTGAGATAGGAAAATTCCAAAGAGGCTCCCCAATGTGCTAGTCTGGAGAAGTGTACAAGTGCCAAACAAAAGTAGAAGCTTTGCTTTAAAACGTTGGAAGACAATATATATCATCACACACTGTTGTCATGAGACGTGGATAGGAATATCAGAGTATACATGTCCTCTGACAGAAAAGCAAGTCCATGCAGATTAGCGATGGTAAAACTATGATCAGAATATATGGAATTTACAAATGTTATTTTTAATAAAATTAAAGTGTACACACACAGAAACACACACACACACGCACACAATTATTTCTTGTAAAAAAAAAAGATTTTACTTTTTAGATCATCTGACTATAAACTGACATAATGGGCAAAAAGAAAAAAAATACTTTCCATTTTAATGCTGAACTCATCGTGAACACCAAATGTCCTACTTAGAACTGTTACTACTGTGATGAAACGCCATGATCAAAATCAACTTGGGAATGAAAAGATTAATTTGGCATGTATGTACACATTATAGTCCCTCAGTGAAGGAAGTCAGCAAAAACTCTATCTGTTGACCATAGTATATTACAGAAACATATAAAAAACAGAATGAAAAATAGACTTCACTAAAATTATTATAAATTTCACTATCAAAAATAAACTTAACATTTTCAAAGTAAACATGATTAATGCAAATTTTCTTTAAATGGAAAATCAGCAATAAAATCAGTTTGCGAATGGCAAACTGTTGTTTTTAAATGGGAAGCTCAGCCCTGGTACACACTGTTCTTTTGTTTTGGTTGGAACAATCCCTTTTCCTGCTCACACTCCCTGTGTGCTGGGCTCTCTCAATATGTGCTTCTGAGTTGAACCAGTCTTCCTCCTATCATGTTAGTAGCCCTTCTTAAGCAAATGTCACGCTCAGAAACAGCACTAAGATTGTAACAAAGAAGAAACAGTACCTCTTTGACTTAACCTCCGAATGTATATTAGCACCGTTCTGAATTAAAAATTCTGCCATCTCGTGTTGGTTTTCATATAATGCAAGCTTGTATGGTGTCAAGCCATACTGCAAAGAAAAAAGAATTATTTTATAATTCTCAATTTTCTTTCTCAAAAGAAAAATTATCACAGGTTTTGTCAGCAACAGGATAGGTTTTCCTTCTGTCCTTGCTACAGTTTCACACACACATAGCCTCCCCCTTCCCTTTGACACACCTTTCCCCCTGTTAAAAATCGCCTATGAATACCAATCCTCTCCAGAGCTCTCCACAAACAATCCCTGGTTCCAAGCTTCTTAGCTCCATAGAGATGGGCCTCCATTGCCCCAAGCCTAAAACATGGAGTGTAGGTTTGCTGTGCCTCTGTTGAATGACAGAGCTCAAGTGGCATCTCTGGAGAGTTTCTCAATCTGTTTTTCAAAACTTTCTTCCCTATACCAAGAATTATTATCTCCCAAACTTAACATTTCCTATTGTAGTGGTCCAAGGATCTGTTGGAGAAAGCCCCCAGACTCAAATAGTATGTGCACACAAAGAACCTTTATTCTGCAGAAATGGACAGTGTGCAGGGGTCAATCGGTCATCTAAAATAGTGATGAGGATCCGGATAAGGCACACAGGCCTTCCTAAAGAGACTTGGGGAATTCTAAGCATCTTTGTTTTAATTGGGCAGTCAGGCAGGGAACAGGTATATTGGGCACATGTTGATGGGACAAAGCTAGCAACAGTTTCCTCCATTGTGTTCAATAGGAGCCAGATACTGCATCTCTGGGTATCCCAGCCTTATTAAGGACAGGTTGAGAACTGCTTTGAGTATTGGATAAACTTGACTCAGGGCCTTCATGGACTCAAGCTTATGCCATTTATTACAATGGAGTTGTTCCTTGTTTAAGATGGTGTCACATTTTGGACCTTTCACTATGTACCTAGAAAGTTTGGAACAGTTAAATAAAAACTATCCTCCTCAATGATCAAATTTGCAAATTTGCCTGAGTGCCTGTGACCTTTCTCGTTTTCCACTCTAGCCTCGCCTCTGAGAGACAAATCACATCACTATCTTATTTACAACAGATTTCTGTTCGTTCTACAGACATTTTCCTTACAATTAATTCATTTTTTTGTTTCTGTGTAGGTGAAGTGTGTATGGGCATGAATCCGTCATTTGCTTAATTTTAAAATGAAACCCAATTCTGAAACAAAATATGCAGTGATGTGATACTTTAAACTACCTACAAAACTATGAATAGTATTACGCGGAGAAAATGTTTTACACTGACAGATTTAGTGAGACCACTTGAGATTTGGAATGTGGAAAGTGGATCTGATTGTTATCGCTGGAAATACAATGGGAATGAAGTTGACTGATCTTTACCTCTGTTTTGCCTTCAATATCTACATTGTATTCAAGCAGTTTGCTGACAATTGTTGTGTTACCCCTGCAAACAGCATGGTGCAGGGCTGTATTCCCACTGAGATCATTCACATGGGGATCAGCTCCCTGTGTCAGTAATATAGAAACACACTCCACATTGTCTCTCTGGGTAGCCTGTGGGTATAGTATAAAAAAAAAACATGTTCAATTCAAGAAAGTCAGGATCAACATTCTTACAATTGCATTGAATAGTTCACCTTAGATCAGACAAAATGATTAGGTTATACATACTGTCCTACTCTTTTTGAGACTGGGTCTTCTTAAGAAACCCAAGCTTGCCTAAATTCATATCACCATCAAACTTTGAAAATGGTAGAAGTTCAGGGTTATGCCACCACACCTAGACATTAAACAATTTCAACAGCAGTGGTTGGTTGTTGTTGTAGTGGATTAGGTTGTTGACCTGTTTTGATAACTTGACTCAGACTGAAGATACCTGGAAAATTGGATTCTCACTTGAATAATTGGCTCTATCAAACTGGACTCTGGGGAGGTCTGTGGAGCCTTCTCTTATTTGAGTTGACATGGGAGGGTACAGCTTCCTGGAGGTGCGAGCATGACTCGGCAGGCAAGTGGTCCAGAGTAGCATAGAAAATCCATGGAAAATCAGCACCATGGTCTTGAGTTCTTGCCTCTGGTTCCTGATTTGTGCGCCTGCCTTGGTTTCCTTTCATGATGGACTGTTATGTGGAATTATAGGGCAAATAATCATTCTATTTCCTGAGTTGGTTTTGGTCAATATTTGACCACAGCCACAAAAACCAAACAAGGACCAGATCTAATCCATTTCATACCCGAACTGTTGACAGATACCTACCTTAATCAAGGGGGTACAGCCTTCATCATCACGGATGTTAATATTGGCTCTGTAGGATAACAACAATCTTACGACATCTGGGTGATTGTGGGCACAGGCATAATGTAGGGACGTTCTGCAAATTAAGAGAACAATTTAGGAAATCATGGATTACTGTGCAAAGGCACGTTGAAGTATAATTCCAGATAGCAAAGTTCTCTTGCTTCTGATGTAAGAGAAGTAACTTTAATTTTCTCCACTCAAGGGTTCATTTGCTCTGCTGGGGATATAGTGCATGGCTGCACAATTCAAAGCAGGTGCTCTGCCACAAGCTTCTTCCTTCCTCAGAACAGCCTGTCTAGAGAACAGAAGACCATCAGATAGATTGAACTCAGCTTCGATTGAAACCTATTCTAATCGCTGTTAATAGTTACTACCCAGGCTTCCTGTGAGCTCCATAATCAATTTCCCCATCCATAGAATGGGGATTCCACACGAGCTATCTTGCACACTGCTACTGTGATACCTCAATTTGCATCTTAAAGAGCCTGTACACATGTTTCCATCACGTGAGAGTTCAGTGCTTGGTGGCTACAACAATCATTTGTCTTCCTGTTGATAACAAGCACACTAATTCTACCTACTGTTTGGATGCAAAATTGTTTTAGTAAAATCAGTATACAATATTTTAAAACTATACTCTCTAAGCTGGCCTTGAATTTGGTAATCCTCCCAGTATGTAGGATTATAAGCCAGTGCATCTGGCCTACCTTACACTTTACTTACCATTTTAGCATCACTGACATCTCTGCCATTTTATAATTCATGATATTTTATGACTACAATTCACAACATTTTTCAACTTTACTCATATAAAAAATAAAAGGTTAACACGTAGTCCATTGTGCCTTTCATCAAATGAAAAATGACCCAATTCACAAACGAATGGCAATTCTTTAGGTCACTTGTATGTGTGTAAATTTTAGCCCTTAAGGTGATGAAAGGTAAGCAGATGTAGAATAGCAATAACAAACAACAAATATCTAAATCCTCACTCATCAATAATTTGAATTTTTTTTCAATTTTCAATTCCAAGAAGTAATGTTTGTATATTTTCTGCCCACAGGGACACAGCCTAGTCCTCAGACAACAGACAGAGTGTACATTGTAATACAGACCCCAAATAGTAGCAAAGCAGACCATATTGCTTAGTCTTATACTTCTCAATGTGTCCATGACCTCTTAGCATAATTGAACAAATCTCTGTATAGGTCAATAACCCATGGCATCTTAACTCTCTTGATTTTCAAAGAGAATTGACAGAATAAAATACCAGGGATTTAATGAGCATGGTTCCTTTTATTCAACATTAAATTTATAGAATGCAAAGAATGTTGACTGGAGAGACAAACAGAAAGGTTTTCAGAATGTGAGGATCTGGAGTAATAGTAGAATGTGTTCTGCTGTACAGTAGACAGCTCATTCACATGTGGGGAATGAAAGTAGTGATAGAATGGATAAGCATAGTTGGAAAATTCAATGATGTCAAAGAATGTATTTGTTAAGCAAAGAATATATTGAAAGAAATTTACTGTTTTATTATTTCAGGAATCTCTAAATTAGAAGAATAATAATCCTCCCAAACTACAGAAATGACCAAGAAGCTTGTGGGTTATGGAAAATGTACTGTTGGGTGTCATTGTTTTCTCTTTATAACCTAGTGTGAAATCAGAAATGAGTGAGAAGAAAGGGGCTGGGGTCATAAGTAAAGCTCAGTTGCTTATAGACTTGGCCTGAATGCTGGGAACCTGAGTTCAGAGTACCCAGCACCTTGAAAGAGTTCTGCTGGGGAGGTGGATACAGGAGGATCCCCAAAGCTTGCTTGCCTGCAAGTCTAGATGATATAAGTACACCCCAAAACAAAAAATCAAACACAGTGAGAATTTCTTTGTGAGAATCTGTCTCAAAACCTGAGGTTAGGGACCACATGACGGTTCTACATGTGGAGGAACCTGCCCGAAGAGCAAATAACCTGAGATCAACCCCCAGAACACACAATGTGGCAGAACACAACTGTCAATTCTAATTCTCTTTTGACCTTCACACATACCTGCACATGTGTGTGGCACATGTGCACACATATATGACTTTGTAAAGGAGATGCAAAGCAACTGAAGAAAAGAATGTCAATCGCTAGCCTTCACATATGTTGCAATGCACACACAGCATGTATTCAAGGAGGACAGGGGCAAAGTCATAGTTCCCCTGGAAATTTTCCTTATAGAAATTCCCTATAGAAATATAAGGTTTCTTTGAGACATTCTTTTGTGCCTTAACATTGACATAGTATATGAAAACATATTTCATGCTTTGGATATAACAGCCGGGCTATGTCTGACACTGAGGTCTAACCCTAACCCGAACCCTGGGTCTAACCATAATGCTAACCTTAAACCAAATCCTAACCCTAACACTGGGATCGAACCCTGAGTCTAACCCTCCTGGGTCTAAACCTAACCTAACCCCAATGCTAACCGTAACATTGAGGTCTATTCCTGGGTGTAACCTTAACTCTAACCCTAAAGCCAAGATGGCTTGGCATTTAGTATCTCTAGTTTTTCTTGTAAGAGACCAGGGTTTGATTTCCTGTACCCACGTGGCAGATCACAACGATCCATAGCTCCAGTTCCGGAAGATCCAACATCCTCTTCTGATGCTTGTGGTACATTTCAAAATACATGCAGGCAAAACACTCACATACATGAATCTCAAAAATTGTAAGTATACACACACAAAATATGTCTATAGTTTTATTAGCTAAATCACTTTAAAGCACCCAATAATGTGCCCTGAGAGACAATTGAAAAGTTGTAAACTAACTGAAATTCTTTGTTTTGCTGTTCTTAAAGAAGGCCAATGAGCTGCCACTCCAAGGTTGCTGCTGCCTGATGCCTAGGAGCTGAAAACAGGAACAAAATTTTCCACAGCTCCATGAAAGAAGAGCCTTAAGCACGACCTCTGCACTCCCTTAGACTGCAACCCTGAAAGGTGTGTTTCTCCCTGGTTGGCACTGACTGTCCACAACAGTTCCTGCCCCACCTGCCCCTCACCCCTCCTCAGGCCCCATTACCTGTCCCTCCTGTCATATTCATTCACATGGCATCCATGGAAGTTGATGAATCTCTCCACTGAAGCCACATCACCCACGCTGGCCGCCCTTTGCAGTTGCCCCACAGGGTCGTACCCGATTAAGTAGAGGGGAAATGCCTGCCTTTTATTAGACAGGCATCCACGCCTCAGGCACGCTGGCAGCAGGCGGGTGTACCAGCGAGCCCGCTTAGGAGCTTCATAAGTATATGCATCGTAATCGAAATCCTCCTGCATGTTGATCCTCAGGACCCTCCCTGCCTTCCCTGCTCTCCCTGCCTTCTACTTTAGCCACCTGAAGCCTCCCAAACCACACACTAAATATTTGAAACTCGGTTTAGTCTCCCCACTGAGCCACAAGGGCGTCTCTTTAGGACAGGTCCTTGGTTCAGTGTGAGCTGAACTCTGTTTCTTCCTCAGCAACACAGTTGCCGTGGCCTTGTGACATGGTGTGAGCGAACAATGAGGCTCAACCGCTGTCTAACGTGCCTGGGATCTGTGCATGTCCATGTCTGACTCCAGTGTCGAGAGCCCACCATGCTTAGCACACGTTCAAAGCAATGTTAATTGGAATTTTAGAGTACACCTACCTTCATGAACTCAAAAACAGAACACAGAGGGGAGTTTGGAGATGGTTCTGGCCCTTACAGTCAGGAAGCCCTAGGAAAAGCTTCTTAAGCCTGGCTTGATGGTGTTAGGAAAACATTCGTCCTCAGTGAGTGAACCCAGACTCAAAGAGACAAATATTGTGTGTTTTCTCTTAGGAGGTTGCTAGTTCAAACATTCTGATATGAAACCATCAATTGGAATAACTAGTGAGATATTCACTTTGTCCCCTTCTGTGGCACTGACCACGCCCATGGGGGTTGGAGCCAGAAGAGGAAGTAACTGGGAGAACTATGTCTGAGGAGGAGCCCTGGAAGGCTCTCTTGCTGGCAAGAAAGGGAGGGGAGAGCATCCCTGGAACTTGCAGGTGTTCCCCTGTCTAGGTTGTAAGTTATTTCTCCCTAAATAAACATCTATTCTGCCTATTATTTTTTTTTATCCTTAGGTTTTATCCACAGAGGTTTGGTACCTAATAAGTGGGACCAGGATGGAGGAGAGTATCTCTCAAGGTAGCAGAAATTGTCTATAATGTTATGAAGATTTAAAGGAAATCTATGTTTATATATATGTGTGTATATATATATATATATGTGTGTGTGTGTGTGTGTGTGTGTGTGAAGTAAATGTGTTTTTTAAATAATGATATGTATTGAAATGTAATACACTTATGTAACAAATTCAATTTTTTAAAGTATGCAATTCAGTAGGGAGCTTTTATTATGTTCTTAACATTATGGAAACATCTCCCTATTTTATTTTAAAAATACTTTTGTTATTTGAGTAGAAATCTTTGATTCCTTAGTAAGCAGATGTAGAATAGCAATAACAACCAACAAAAATCTAAATCCTCACTCATCAATAATTTGAATTTTTTTAATTTCTCAATTCCAAGAAGTAATGTTTTTGTATTTGCTGCCCACAGGGACACAGCCTAGTCCTCAGACAACAGAGTGTCCATTGTAATTCAGACCCCAAACAGTAGCAAAGCAGACCATATTGCTTAGTCTTATAATTCTCAATGAGTCCATGACCTCGTAGCATAATTGAACAAATCTCGGTATAGGTCAATAATTCATGGCATCTTAACTCTCTTGATTTTCAAAGAGATTTGAGGGAAAAAAATACCAGGGATTCAATGAGCATGGTTCCTTTTATTCAACATTGAATTTATAGAATGCAAGGAATGTTGACTGGAGAGACAAACAGAAAGGTTTTCAGAATGTGAGGATCTGGAGTAATAGTAGAATGTGTTCTGCTGTACAGTAGACAGCTCAGTCACATGTGGGGAATGAAAGGAGTGATAGAATGGATAAGCATAGTTGGAAAATTCAATGATGTCAAAGAATGTATTTGTTAAGCTAAGAATGTATTGAAAATTTTACTGTTTTATTATTTCAGGAATCTCTAAATTAGAAGAATAATAATCCTCCCGAACTACAGAAATGACCAAGAAGCTTTGTGGGTTATGGAAAATGTACTGTTGGGTGTCATTGTTTTCTCTTTATAACCTAGTGTGAAATCAGAAATGAGTGAGAAGAAAGGGGCTGGGGTCATAGGTAAAGCTCAGTTGCTTATAGACTTGGCCTGAATGCTGGGAACCTGAGTTCAGAGTACCCAGCACTTTGTTCTGCTGGGGAGGTGGATACAGGAGGATCCCCAAAGCTTGCTTGCCTGCAAGTCTAGATGATATAAGTACACCCCAAAACAAAAAATCAAACTCAGTGAGAATTTCTTTGTGAGAATCTGTCTCAAAACCTGCCCTTCTCTGAACAGAACCTGAGGAGTGCATGCCAAGGGGGCAGGGAGAGGGAGGGACTTGGAGGACAGGAAGGAGGGAAAATAGTCAGCAGGTTGTTAAAAAAAAAGCAACCAGGGAAAAAGTACAAAGGGGCCTGAAGCAGTGGTGGCAGAGGCCTTTAATCCCAGCACTCTGGAGACAGAGGCAGGCAGATCTGTGAGGCCAGCCTGGTCTACAGTCAGAGTTCCAGGACAGCCAGGACTGTTCACAGAGAATCCTGTCTTGTGTGTGTGTGGGGGGGGCAGGCTTGATGGGTGGGGGGCAGGCTTGAGGACTGAAGAGATAGCTCAGTTGTTAAGAGCACTCAGATGACCTGGGTTCAATTCCTAGCACCCACATGGCAGCTCACACCTGCCTATAACTGACACTCTCACACAGACATACCTACAGGTAAAATAACACTGCACATAATAAAAATGAAGTTTAAAAAAATGTACAAAGGGGTGGACAGACATGGAAGAACTTGGGAGGCATAAGCAGACAGATCCCAGTTCAAGGCCAGCCTTGTCCAATAGCGAGTCAAGTCAGCCAGGTCTACACTCAATAACAACAAAGTACAAAGGAGTGAAGAGCTGACCTTGTAATGACGTCCTTTCCCCTAACTACTGTGGTAACTAAGGTAAAATAATTGCTTGAACACAGGAGTTAGGAGCCAGCCTGGGAAACATTACTCCCATGTCAAATACTTAAAGAACCACCTTTTAAGCTAACCGTGTCATCCTCGAGGGCCTGACTGAAGTTGTGTATTAGAATCTGTATCCATACCTCACTCACATCAACTGATGGCTGATGCTTTCAAGTTTACTTTATTGTATATGATGAAAATAACAGACAAAAAAAATTCATTTTTGTACTGGAATAATTCTACAAACTTATTTGCAAAGCAAAACAAACGTATCCACAGAGGCAGGAAAGAAAATGAGTTTAGAGACTCTTAAAAAGCTGTGTTCCTCTTCACCTGCAGGGGCTAAAGCCCGGCTGCCTGACACTCAGCAAGTGCCTCCAGCACCTGCTCAGGCAGGTTGTTGTTTGAGTCGGAGGGAAGGGTCTTCAAGAATTCCTCAAGTTGTTTCAACTTCGTAGCTGAAAGAGGGTCAACACGAACAGTCAAGAGGGGAAATGGTATCTGCTCCCCCTGATTGGGAAGAGGCCTGGTTTTAAAGGGCCCTGGACTTAGAATCTGGGAAGAGTGGTGCCTAAGGTTGAGCTGGGGGTGGTGGGTCTGGGTGTGTCCAAGCCTGTGCTTTCATTCTCAAGGGTCTCCTCCCAAAGGGGTCCCCAGGGACACAGGGTTGCCTGGTGTTTGGAAACTGCAATAAGTTGTGAGAAAGTTTCTGGAAGCTGAGAATCGTCCCATGGCTTCAAAGGGTCTTCAAAGGCCCTTACCTCTTTGGACATTGTGTTCTTTGTGCCAAACTGCCAGGTTTAAGAGAATGTTTTTCAATCGATTCTTTACGAAGGGTCGTCCACATATGGTGATTTCAGCTAGGTTCCCAGAGTCGACTGTGTCCACTCTCACCAAAGCCTGGCTTATCCACTCTATCTCTGAGATTAAAGCTTGTTTGGACCTAAATCGGTAAAAGAGAGTCTAAGCAGTAAGAAGAATGGCTTCAGGTGGGAAGGGGAGGGCTCTGATGGACTTAATGGACAGACTGGGCTGGTGAATGAGGTACAGAGGGAGCTAACCCAGACCCCTGTGAAGAGAGGCTCACCAAAGATTATTTCTGCCAGCCAGGCCTCCATGTACAGCACGAGAGGATCACTGAGTTCCTGCACTGGGAACCACCATGGCCGCACGCGAATCCGTGGGGACATAGGGGGGACGCTGAGCAGCTTCTGTGAAGGACGGTCCCGCGTTGGACTTTTCCGCTTGGTGTGATCTTCAGTAGTATGGGGTTCCATACTGGAACTCAAAGACTGCAAGCTCAGGATGCTGGGTGCCTGGAGTTCCAGCTGCATTTTTCAATGTGAGGTCTGGCCACACCCCTTGTGTGCCACGCCCCCAGCCAGAGCAAGTAACACAAAGAGGTGGGCTGGTGTGACTCTGTGTGTGTGTGTGTGTGTGTGTGTGTGTGTGTGTGTGTGTGTGTGTGTGTGCGCTCGCACACGTGTGCTGGTGTGACCTGTGTGTGTGTGTGTGTGTGTCACTGATTGCTAGAGGGACCCTCTCTGTCCTGAGCTCCACTCTGCTTCTGTCAGCAGTGCTGACAAGTCTACCTGACCACTGGAAACTTGGGGTCCCTATCGGGAATGAAGTAGAGATGTCATCGAAGCTCCCACAGCTCCATTCATTCCCTTGAGCTATTCTCCTGAGATGCTCCCAACTGAGCCTACTTCACAAACACACCAAGCCCATATCACCTATGCCTTGTCTCTGTGTTTTCAGACTCCAACAGGTAGCTGGAGCTAGCTACTGTGTTGTTTGTGGGCATCAGTTTTGTGACGATTGTGAGAAAGAGAAGAATCCTGGTCATCCTCAGCCAGATGGCACTTAACTTGTGATTTCCTTTTGTCTTGGAGGCAGAGTTTTTTTGGAATCTTAGTTTCCCAAGTATTTATTACTGCATTTTACTCTCTGAGCCCATGTCAGCCTCCAAAGATTTAACATGCTATGGTTTAACAGTGCTGCTGAGTCAGGTGTGCCACTGTTTTACCTCTGTTTTGCCTGGTTTGAATGTGATTAACAGGCAGGTGGAGGCCATTTTCCCTGTAATCTAAAGTATGCTCTTTGTACCCAACCCAAACTGAGGAAAACTACAACCAAGACCTCTCCAGCAGTTTCATTTTCCCGGTCATCCCTGGAAGGAACCAGTCTGAATGCATATTTCATTCAGGCAGCGGATTATATGAGAGATATATCATTCTATTTTCTCTAAATTTTACTCTTTCTGAGATAGGGTTTCTCTGTGTAGTCCAGCTGTCCTGGAACTTGCTCTCTAGACCAGTCTGGCCTCCAACTTAAGAGATCTGCCTGCCTCTGCCTCCTGAGTGCTAGGATTAAAGGCATACACCACCACACCTGGCTATTAATTGATATTTATTTTATTTTTTGTACAAACACTTAGCAGAGTGCAGAGAAGGTCACATGGTTTAGGCCACAGCCTTAAAACCCACGATAGTTAGATAGTTTCATAACCTTTGTGTTATGAAACTGAAGGGACTGTGTCCTTTCAAGGCCCACATTGTGGCTACCAACAGCCATGATACTTTCTCTGAATGCTAGGGATATCAATTATACTCACCTTAGGAGGACCCCATGTCCCTCTAGAGCTACCATTAAATGTTTTTTTGTTTGGTTGTTTGGTTATCCAAAGAGCAGTCATCATTTCAAAACAGAAAAGTGGAAAATGTTTCTCTGTGTACCCCTGGTTTCCCGGAACTCATTCTGTAGACCTGGCTGGCTGGAACTCACAGAGATCTACCTGCCTCTGCCTCCCAAGCACTAGGATTAAATGCATGTACCACAACACCCAACCTGATTTTGTATTTACATTGAACAATGATTATATAATTCATGTATAAGATGACTGATAAAAATTGTACAGAGATATAATGATATTTACAGGTCTGCTAACTCCTAATTGTCTTGGTCATGTATTGTAGAATACTATTTTAAGGTGTGTTACATTTGTTTATGCTGTGGAATATCATTTGTTTTAATGATGCAACGATGTGTTGCATTTGTTTAACTCAGTGAAGCTGTGTTATGTTGCCTGTTTAAAACACCTGAATGGTTTAATAAAGAACTGAACGGCCACTAGTTAGTTAGGCTGGAGAAAGGATAGGTGGGGCTGTCAGAGAGAATAAATAGGAGGATGAAAAAAGAGGAGAGGAAGACTCCAGGGAACAGCCATGAAGCTACCTAGGAAGCCATGGAGAAAGGAGTAAAGAAAAGATGTACAGAAATAAAATAATAATAATAATAAACACCCTAAGCCCACAGAGACAGCTGACCGAAGCTAGTGGTAGCTCATGGCCTGACAGCTGGGGAACCTGCTTGTGACCAAATTAGAGACCCTGTGAATGTGGATAACAGTTGTGGGACTTGATCTGTTGGCGTGTGTGTGTGTGTGTGTGTGTGTGTGTGTGTGCTGCCAAAACCACCATGACCTATCCCAGGGACATGAACTGGCTTTTTGGAGCCCATTCCCTGTGGTGGGATACCTTGGTCAACCAGGGTAGAAGGGCTTGGTCCTGCCTCAACTTGGTATTCCCCAAGGAAGGCCTTACCCCTTTTGAGGAGTGGATGGGGAAGGGTAAGGAGAAGGGGAGGTGGGGATGGTGGAAGGGGTAGGAAGGGGGAACTGGGGTTGGTATGTAAAACGAAAATTAAAAAAAAAAGATGTAATCCCAGAGCAAAAGTTAGAGGGGCTAATTTAAGTTAAGAAAAGTTGGCTAAGCCAGGCATTGGTGGCACACGCCTTTAATCCCAGTACTCAGGAAGCAGAGGCAGGTGAATCTCTGTGAGTTCGAGTTTTAGGCCAGCCTGTTCTACAGAGGTAGTTCCAGGACAGGCTACAAAGCAATACAGTGAAACCCTGTATTGAAAAACCAAGAGAAAAAGAAAAAGTTGGCTAGAAACAAGCTATGCTAAGGCAGGGCATTCATAAGAAAGAATAAGCATCTGTGTATGTGTTTATTTGGAAGCTGGATGGCAGCCCCCCACCAAATAAAAGTGCAAAAACAGTAAAAGCAACCACTGGGTGTCAGTGGTGTACACCTTTAATTCCAGCAGGTCTCTGTGAGTTAGAGGCCAGCCTGGTCTACATTGCAAGTTCCAAGACAGGCTCTGAAGATACACAGAGAAACCCTGTCTCAAAAACAAAAACGAAAACAAAACAAACCGTGAGAAAGCGAGAGAGAGAAAGAGAGAGAGAGAGAGACAGAGAGAGAGAGAGAGAGAGAGAGAGAGAGAGAGAGAGAGAGAGAGGGCTCAGCAGTGAATAATAGTGGAGAACAGGCTACTCTTCCAGAGGTCCTGAGTTCAGTTCCCAGCAACTACATGGTAACTCACAACCGTCTGTAATGAGATCTAGTGCCCTTTTCTGGCATGTAGGCATATGTGCAGAACAGAATACTGTATACGAAATAAACAGATCTAAAATAAATAAATAAATAAATAAATAAATAAATACAACAACCACAACTGTTGGTTTCATGGGATCCAACAACTTCTGTCACTTGGAGGTTTCCATACATGTGTTAATACCCATACAGACTCACATACATATTCATAAAATCAAAAAAAATTAACTTTAAAAAGCCTAAGTGGGACAATCCTTTAGTGATATTTGATGGCACTGTAAATTGATCCTAAAAGTGTGAACAAAGTGTCAGCTACACTCCTTGGGAAAGTCACATGAGAATTCAGAGGATCACCCCACTTTCAGTCTGACCCATCACTCCTTAACAGCACTCATGTAGAGCTGGGGTACAGGACATCAGCGGTCAACAGAGGCCAAATGCCCATCCTGCCCTCTCTCACTATGAGGTGGTTGGTCAGAAGCTATACAAGCTTGTCTGTCACACAAAGGACAGAAATACATGGCACAGTAAAGAAAGAGCAGGAGAAAAATGACAGAGTGGCTTGCCAGAGACCTGCTTTGGTGGAGGGGGATGAGGATAGGACACTATGGGACAGGACAGGAGGACATAGACATGATGTAAGGGTGAATGAGAATGGCTGGCAGCAACATTGAATTGAAAAAAGACACCTTTTTTTTTGGGGGGGGGGAGAGGTTTCAAGACAGGGCTTCTCTGTAGGTTTAGAGGCTGTCCTGGAACTAGCTCTTGGAGACCAGGTTGGTATCAACCTCACAGAGATCTGCATGCCTCTGCTTCCTGAGTGCTGGGATTAAAGGTGTGCACCACCACCACCCAGCTAAGACTACACCTTCCTTACTCTATAGTTGCACATGGGATTAAAGGGGAGAGAAGGGTCATGGAAGCTGGACTGTGCCTTGAGATCAGGTGTTGAGCAATCTAGCACTGACTTTGACAATAGGCACCAGTTAGATGTTAATGGAAGGGCCACAAGTTCCTCTTGCCAGAGATGAGAATGACTGCTTTATCAAGCAGGAACTTTCCTCAAGCCCCCAAGGGAATGGAGACCCACATGCCCAACCTTGGGAAAAGGACTTCTGGGTAGCAGACACTACACTACACTTTCTTAGGCTTACTATATGGGCCAGTTCCCCTCATGGTGCTCCCCAGAGGGAAGGTCCTGATGTCTTACTCTTTCCCCACCATACTGCACCAATTTGATTTCTCTGCATTTATTAACGGAACTCTTGTCCTTAATGAATGGCCTCAGGCTCTGGATCTGAATTGTGAGCTTTTCAGCCTTTGGATCCGGTGTGTCCTGATCTTGGTGTAATTAGGAGGGTACATTGGAATTCCTGGTTCAGTGATGGTGAGGATTTTGTTTTCTGTAAAGTTATTTTGTTTATAAAGGCTATTATTGGCTGGGTGGTGGTGATACACCCCTTTAGTCCTAGCACTTGGGAGGCAGAGGCAGGCAGATCTCTGTGAGTTTAAGGGCAGCCTGATCTACAAGAGCTATTTTAGGACAGCTTCCAAAGCCACAGAGAAACCCTGTCTTGAAAAACAGAGAGAGAGAGAGTTATTATTGCATGCATTTTTATCCTTCACCACACAAAATTTCCCAAAGGGAAGTCATTAATATTGAGAAGCTTTAAAAAGTAAAAAGGTGCAGGAGAAGTTGGTCTGCAATGTTGAAAAGTTTCAACTTTGTCAAGTGCCAATAGTCACCATGTGGTCCATACCAGTGGCCACTTGTATTTTCCACTCTTCAGTAATTTACTATTGTGCACAGCGCAGGATGAGTGGATCCACATAGGTACACCTCATGCCCGATATTAGACCCATTTCCTCAGTAAAGCATAAATACAGGGTCCGGCTGTGTGAGTCAGTGAAGATGATACAGTGAAGACAAGAGA